TCCTGGGAATCTCCTGCGGACCCCTGGGGCCTGTCCTGGGCGTCCTGCGGCCTGCTGAAGCTCTCTGGGGCCTCCTGGGGCTCCCAGGGTCCCAGGGGGGATATGTAACATGTGGTCTTCTGGGCCCCCAGGCTGGACCACCTCTTGCGCAGCATCTGAGAGCTCAGAGTTGCGAGAATGTCTTGTGCGAAACAAGCCGGACCACCTTGCGCACGGCATTTCAGAGCTCAGATTTTCGAGGATGTCTCAGGCGAGACGGGCCGGACCACCTCGCGCAAGGCATCTCAGAGCTCAGAAGTTCGAGGACGTCTCAGGCGAAAAGGGCCGGACCATCTCTCGCGCGGCATCTCCGAGGTTAGAGTTTCGAGGATGTCTCAGGCGAAACGGGCCGGACCACCTCGCGCAAGGCATCTCAGAGCTCAGAGTTTCGAGGATGTCTCAGGCGAAACGGCCCGGACCACCTCTCGCACGGCACCTCGGGGTTCAGAGTTTCGAGGATGTCTCAAGCGAAACGGCCCGGACCACCTCTCGCGCGGCGTCCCGGAGCGCAACTTTTCGAGGATATCTCAGGCGAAACGGCCAATCCCGGCCAACTCAGAAACGAGAGTTGTGAGGATGTCTCAAGCGAAACGGCCAAAACCATAAAATTTGTGTGAGGATGTCACAGCTCCGACTCCCTCGCCGTAAATTAGCTATTCTATCACATAGTCTAACACCCCCCGTTCAGCAAGTGTTGGGGAATCAACGAATCGACACCGGATGTGTATTAATTTGACACGTTCTGATAGGGGGCCTCCTGGGAGCCTCCTGGGAATCTCCTGCTCCCCCCTGGGGCCTGTCCTGGGCGTCCTGCGGCTTCCTGAAGCTCTCTGGGGCCTCCTGGGGCTCCCAGGGTCCCAGGGAGGATATGTAACATGTGGTCTTCTGGGCCCCCAGGCTGGACCACCTCTTGCGCGGCATCAGGGAGCTCAGAGTTGCAAGAATGTCTTGTGCGAAACAGGCCAGACCAACTTGCGCCCCCCCAAGGCATCTCAGATGCTCAGAGTTGCAAATAAGTCTCAGCGAAACTGCCGGAGATCTCGTGCGAAACCTGCTGCGGGAAGTCTCAGCGAACGGGCCGGACCACCTCGACGCGCGTCCTCAAGCTCCGAGTTGCGGGGGCCTCCCTGGGCCTCCTTGGGCATCTGGTGAACCTCCTAGGGGCTTCCTCCTGTGCTCCTGGTGGCCTCCTGAATCTCCACCTGGTTCTTCCTGAAGCCTCTTGGGGCTCCCATGGGGGAATACTAACCTGAGGCCGCTTGGCTCCTCAAATTGAAGGGGGGGCCACAAGATCAAGAAAAATCAAACGAAACGGCACCGATGTGTAAAAACTTGACACGTACTGATAGAGTCCTCCTGGTCCCTACTGGAGCCTCCTGGGAATCTCTGGGGGACCCTGTGGCCTGTCCTGGGCGACCCTGCTGCCATCTGGAACTCTCTGCTCCTCCTGGCGCCTCCTGGGGCTCCCAGGGTCCCAGGGAGGATATGTAACATGTGGTCTTCTGGGCCCCCAGGCTGGACCACCTCTTGCACGGCATCTGGGAGCTCAGAGTTGCGAGAATGTCTTGTGCGAAACAGGCCGGACCACCTTGCGCACGGCATCTCGGAGCTCAGAGTTGCGAGGATGTCTCAGGCGAGACGGGCCAGACCACCTCGCGCAGGGCATCTCAGAGCTCAGAAGTTCGAGGATGTCTCAGGCAGGCTCCCAGGGTCCCAGAGAGGATATGTAACATGTGGTCTTCTGGGCCCCCAGGCTGGACCACCTCTTGCGCGGCATCTGGGAGCTCAGAATTGCGAGAATGTCTTGTGCGAAACAAGCCGGACAACCTTGCGCACGGCATCTCAGAGCTCAGAGATGCGAGGATGTCTCAAGCGAGACGGGCCGGACCACCTCGCGCAGGGCATCTCAGAGCTCAGAAGTTCGAGGATGTCTCAGGCGAAACGGGCCGGACCACCTCACTCGCGTGCATCTCCTAGTCCGAGTAAAATTCGTTTCGAGGATGTCTCAGGCGAAACGGGCCGGACCACCTCGCGCAAGGCATCTCAGAGCTCAGAGTTTCGAGGATGTCTCAGGCGAAACGGCCCGGATCACCTCTCGCACGGCACCTCGGGGCTCAGAGTTTCGAGAATGTCTCAAGCGAAACAGCCCGGACCACCTCTCGCGCGGCGTCCCGGAGCGCAATTGTTCGAGGATGTCTCAAGCGAAACGGCCAATCCTGGCCAACTCAGAAACGAGAGTTGTGAGGATGTCTCAAGCGAAACGGCCCGGACCATCAAATTTTTGTGAGGATGTCTCTGCTCCGACTTCCCTCGGCCGGAGTTAGCTTCTATCGTAACAGCACCCAGTTCAGCAAGCTGTTTGGGGAATAATCCCCAGACCTGGAGAGGGACAGGCCCGATTTTAATCTAGGCAGCGACCCGAAAACCAGAGCCCCTCCTGAGCCCAGCGGACCTCATCGATAGGTGGCAAAACGGCATACAAGCTTAACCTTAAATCGGGCCTGTCCCCTACAGGGGGACTTTCGACGAAAAATTATCCCGGCAAAGCAACCTAACAGCGATGTGTAGGAGCATATCTGGAAGCATTCCCCTTAAGATTCAGATGAGAATCCTGTTATAGAATTCTGCTGTTCTCGCAGTCGTAGTCGCATTCGCGATGGCAGTCGCAGTGGCAACGGCAGTCGCAGTCACAGCCTCAGCCTCAGCCTACCTCAGCCTCAGTCTCAGCCTGCCTCAGCCTCAGCCTGCTTCAGCCTCAGCCTCATCCTGCTTCAGCCTCAACATCAGTCTGCCTTCAGCCTCGGCCTCAGCCTCAGCCTGCCTCAGCCTCACCCTGCATCAGCCTCAGCCTCAGCCTTCTCATCATCAGCCTGCCTCAGCCTCGATTGCCTCATCGCCTGCCTCAGCCTCAGCCAGCTCAGCCTCACTCAGTCAGGCCGTCCATGTCGGCCTCATCCGTCCCTGCAGCTCATCCTCAGTCCTCAGCCTCAGCATGCCTCAGCCTCAGCCTGCCACACCTCAGCCTGCCCCTCAGCCTCCACCTGCCACATCCTCAATCCACGCCTTGCCATCAGCCTCAGCCTCAGTCTGCCTTCAGCCTCAGCCTCAGCCTCAGGCTGCCTCAGCCTCAGCCTGCATCAGCCTCAGCCTCAGCCTCAGCCTGCCTCAGCATCAGCCTGCCTCAGCCTCATCCTCAGCCTGCCTCAGCCTCAGCCTCAGCCTGCTTCAGCCTCAGCATCAGTCTGCCTTCAGCCTCGGCCTCAGCCTCAGCCTGCCTCAGCCTCAGCCTGCATCAGCCACAGCCTCAGCCTCAGCCTGCCTCAGCATCAGCCTGCCTCAGCCTCAGCCTCAGCCTGCCTCAGCCTCAGCCTCAGCCTGCTTCAGCCTCAGCCTCAGTCTGCCTTCAGCCTCGGCCTCAGCCTCATCCTGCCTCAGCCTCAGCCTGCATCAGCCTCAGCCTCAGCCTGCCTCAGCCTCAGCCTCAGCCTGCCTCAGCCTCAGCCTGCCTCAGCCTCAGCCTCAGCCTGCTTCAGCCTCAGCCTCAAGTCTGCCTTCAGCCTCGGCGTCAGCCTCAGGCTGCCTCAGCCTCAGCCTGCATCAGCCTCAGCCTCAGCCTCAGCCTGCCTCAGCATCAGCCTGCCTCAGCCTCAGCCTCAGCCTGCCTCAGCCTCAGCCTCAGCCTGCTTCAGCCTCAGCCTCAGTCTGCCTTCAGCCTCGGCCTCAGCCTCAGCCTGCCTCAGCCTCAGCCTGCATCAGCCTCAGCCTCAGCCTCAGCCTGCCTCAGCATCAGCCTGTCTCAGCCTCAGCCTCAGCCTGCCTCAGCCTCAGCCTCAGCCTGCTTCAGCCTCAGCCTCAGTCTGCCTTCAGCCTCGGCCTCAGCCTCAGCCTGCCTCAGCCTCAGCCTGCCTCAGCCTCAGCATCAGCCTGCCTCAGCATTCAAAATGTGGCCCGGGAATGGAGTTCTGGGAACTCGAAGAACACGAAGTGGCCTACAGTTGGCTCCGGGCATTCAAAATCATGCCCAGGAATGGAGTTCTGGGAACTCGAAGAGCACGAAGTGGCCTTCAGTTGGCTCCGGACATTCAGACTGTGGCCCGGGAGTGGAGTTCTCGGAACTCCAAGACCACGAAGTGTGTAACTGTTGGCTAAAAAATCCCCGGCACCCTCCCCCGGATCGCGCACAGACCCCCCTGGGGCGTCATGATGCTTTTGACCCTACTAGAAACCTATTAGTCTTCGCAGTTAGGTAATTAAAAAATACTCCAGAAATATTCCAAAATGATCAAAAATACACACAAACAACAAAAAACAACTCATACTAGGTGTTGCTTATATTTGAATACTCCTCCTGTAGATTAGCAGGCCCGACTTAAGCTTAACCGTTCGAACGTCCGCGCCGACCTCTTGCATCGGCGCAGGATCGGCATGGGACCCCCGTCCCCGGCGAGGCGCTGGAGGCGCCGCCAAGCGGGGCTCGGTGCCGAACCAGGAAGGCGAGCGTTCTCTCACTCGGCGTTTCGGCGCTGGGCGGAAAAGGGGGGCGAGGAGGGGGGGGTGCACGGTTTCCCCCGGGGCCGTAGGCGACCCGAGGAGGAGGAGGAGGAGGAGGAGGAGGAGGAAGAAGAGGAGGAGGAGGAGGAGAATAGGAGGAGGAGGAGGGAGGAAATGGAGGAGGAGGAGGAGGAGGAGAAGAAAGAGGAGGCAAGAGGGAGGGAGGAGGAGGAGTGGGAAGAGGCTTGGGGGGGGGGGGGGGGGCCAACAGGTCCAGCTCCAGCCTACTTACCACATCTATGCTTTACACATGCATCGTGCCTGACACTGCGATTACGATTTGCAACGTCGTCTAGGTGCGCGCGCATCGAGGAGGAGGAGGGGCGGAGGGCAAGGAGGTCGGAGCGGCAGAGGAACGCGGGGAAAAGGGAAGCGCGGGCGGGCGGCAGCTCACAGCCCTCCTTCCGCACGGGGAGGGAGATGGCCTTGGCCTTCTCCTGGAGCGTCAGCAGGTCCAGCTCGTCGGGGAGCTCCATGGTCGCGATGTGCAGGCGCTGCTTCTCGGAGCCAGCGAGGGAGAGCATCGCGGCGCGGGCCTGCTTGGCGCTGATCACGCGCCCGAGGAACGGCTCGGCCACGCCCGAGTCCATGTCCCCCGGGACCTTGTCCAGGCCCTTGGACTCCATGGGGGCGCCGCTCATGCTGGTGCCCTTTTCAGTGCCCGCGCCGACCACAAAAGGGCACTGGGCTCTGGCGGCAACGTCGTGGAGCTTCTCGTCCTGCTTCGCATTGGCGGTGGACAGATAGGCCTTGGCAGCGGCGTTCGCGTCCTTCAGTGAAGCATCCCATCGTCGGTCAGCACCCGTACGACGGACAATCTTCTTTTTCTTCGCTTTAGCTTCGGTCTTCGGTTTTGCTTCATCCTCCTTCGCAACGGCCTCGGCCTGCACGAGCAGCTCATAGGCCTCCGCCCAGGCCTTCTCCTCCAGAGGAACGACAACGCCAGGAGCGTCCGCAAGGCGATCGTCTGCGCCACGAGCGCCCCCGCGCGGAGGATGTAGGTCGGAACGCACGTCAACCAGAAGAGGGTGATGATCAGCATGAACGGCATGGGCATCGTCGCCAGGAGGGGGAGGATCGTCTCGTACGTCATCAGGAGGAAGGTCGGCTGGTTGGGCGGCAGCTGGATGAGGCTCGGCACGGCCATCCGCGCCAGGGACGACCGCAGGAGGAACCGCCTTGGCGCCTGCGTCCGTCGTGGTCTTCTCCTCTGCTTCCTGCTTCGCTTTGGCCTCAGCGTTGGCGAAGGCCTTCTCCACGCGAAGCAGGCGCTCAACAACGGGAGTGACCGCCTCCACCGTCCTTCGCGCTATGACCTCCGCCGCAAGCGTATGCGTCTTCGTGAACGCCTCCACCGCCTCCTGCCGCAGCGACTGGATCTGGAGCTGCAGGCAGTCCGTCGCGCACTCCTCGGCCTGCTTCCTCGCCGCACCCTCGAGCAGGGCCACGCGGACGCAGAGGTCGTCGAGGTCCAGGCCGAGCACATCTGTCACATCCCCGTGCTCCTCCCCGCTCAGGGCGTCGAGGCGGCATCCAGCTTCACCACGTTGTGCAACACCACGCGGGAGGTGGGCAAGCACGTCTGCCTCTGGACCCTCATGTAGAGCAGCACCACGCGAGAGGTGGGCAGGAGTGAAATCATCAGGCACGCCAACATCTGGACCATCATGCAGATCAACGCCACGCGAACGGTGGGCACGAAAGACAGCATCTTGCGGAGCTGGAGGGGCCGCGCCTGCAGCCACCCACGCTCCAGGGGCCAGCCAACCGGCAGGGGCGACAGGAATAGCTTGTTGCAGGCAGACCTGGTGGCGGGTCGTTTGTGTGGCAGCATCAGCACGAGCACCCTGAGCCAGACTAGCGCGTGCACGTCCAGTGGGATGTGCAGCAGCAGCCATTCCGTGATGCTCCCAACGAAACCCAGCATCGTCACGGCTGAGGTCCGCATCAGCAGAAGGATCAGAAGGGCCAGGGTCGTCGGCTGCATCCGCCCACGGTGCCCGCTTCGGCACGGTATTCACAGGCTTGGCGTGGGGTACCTGCTCAGCCACACCGTCCGTTTCGTGCTTGGCACGGTCGGCTCCTTCCAGGAGGCGGCGAGCTGCGCTGTGCTGACGCTTGTCCATGAGCCCAGCCCGCCAGCTCACCTTTTTTTCCTTGCAACTTCCTTTTTTCCTTTTTTCTCTTTTTTTTTTTTTTGTCTTTTGTTTTTTTCTGTTCTGTTTTTTTCTTTTTTTTTTTTTTCTTTCTTTGCGTTCCTTTTTTTTTATTTTTTTTTTTTTTTTTTTTTTTATTTCTACTTCCCACTTTTGTTTTCTTTTTTTTCTTTGTTTTTTTCTCCTTTTTTTTTTTTCTTTTTTTTTTTTTCTTTTTTTTTTTTTTTTTTTTTTTCATTAGGTGGCAGCGCCTGCTTCCCAGAGGTGTGGGGCCGCCCCAGAGCGCGGTCCAAGCAGGCGTGGAGCGACTTGCCCTTGGCCATCTCCTTGATCGCCTGCTTGTCTTCCGCCGCCACCTCCAGGAAGCGCATGCCAGGCCTGGAATGCGCAACGAACCGGTAGTGACTATCACGGGCACGACGCGCGGCCTGCGCCGCAGACAGCTCCAGTCCTCCCTGCACAGCACTCACATATGATCGACAGCACGGCATGTCGTACAGGCCCTCGCTGGAGTGGGAGAGAGAGCAAAAAGTCACGAAGGCAGCCACGGCGGCAGCAGCCCAGCAGCCATCGCGCGAGACGCCCACCCGCTGGTGGGATGCCGAGACATCTTGATGCATGAGCTCTTGAGCCAAAATGGCTACGGTGGAGGAGGAGGAGGAGGAGGAGGAGGAGGAGGAGGAGGAGGAGGACGGGTCGCCTAAGCCCTTCGGAGAAACCCTCAAGGGGGGGGGGTCTGGCTCTGGGCCTCTGCTTCGCGCGACTGTTTCTGCAGCAGCGCGGCCTACAGGGCAGGCCCCACCTGCTCGAAACAGGCGCCAGGAGCAGCCAGGATCTGCTCCACGATTGGGGCGGGGGGGGAGGGTGCGAGGGCCCGCGTCGATCGGCAAAGCCATGAATAAGAAAACGATCGCAAACCTGCGAGCCCTCCGAGGGTTTGTTCGTGCCGTTGACTTTCTTCAAATTCTGGCGCCTCGGCTGCACGACGACGCGCGGCGAAACAGCGGCCAAGGGTGGCGGCGACGTGGCCCCGGCCGAAGTGACCCAGACGCCCGACGACACCACTTTTCCAACGCGCGGCCCCAGAATGGAGGCCTCCTCGATAAGGTCGGAGTAGCTGGGGTCGGAGGATCGTCCCGCGAGGGGAGGGGGGGGGAAGGCCCGCGCCGATCGGCAAAGCAATGAATTCGCTGGCCCAACGGCCCAAGGGCGTGCTGAGATCTCCGGCGACTGGTGAACAACATTCTAGCTCGCGCGCGGTGGGCCGCCCCTGGGGGTCCCCGGACGAAAAGTATCCAGGCAAGTCTGGCAAGGTCCCGGCGGGATCCTGGGCAGGTCCTGGGCAGGTCCTGGCCAGGTCCCAGCAGGCTCCCAAGAGCCTTCCAGGAGCGCTTCAAGTGGCCTCCAAGAGAGCTCAACATGGCCCGAGACGGCCCACGAGCGATCCAAGACGCCAAAGATGGCCTCCAGACAGCCCAAAGCGCCTGCAAGACTCCCCAAAAGGCCTCCAAGAGGCCTCCCAAGACAACCCACAGAGGCAGAAGTTACAGGGCAGATTTTGATACATGGGATTGTTTTATTCTTATTGCGCTTAAAGAGAATAATAAAAAAGGCTGTCTAATAATACATGATTAATGTATGAATAAATGTATGCATAAACTCATAGTTGTTTTAATACTAAAATCCCTGCATGTTTAATACATGATCCGCACGCGCCGCATGTATTAAAAACGGCACTGTAGCGATTTGTCCATAGTTTTCGAAGGTTTGGGGCATTCTCGCCTTGAGTACCGGCCCTCCAAGACGGCCCAGAGGCTTCCAGGATCGCCCCAACATAGCCCAAGAGGCCTCCAAGAGCGCCTCCATAGCCCTCCAAGAGCGCCCACAACGGCCCCAGAGGGCCCCTAGACAGCACCAGAGGCTTCCAAGATGGCCAAAGAAGCTCCCAAGACGGCCCCAAGAGCGGGCCCAGACGAGGGACCCGAACAGACATGTTGAGCTCTAGACGCCGAAAGGTTCCCTGGAAGCCCGAAGAGGCCCCTAAGAAGCCCCCAAGAGGCCCCCGAGAGGCCCCAAGAGACCCCCAAGAGGCCCCAAGAGACCTTCCCAGAGGGTCCACAGAACCAGAAATTTGTGATTTCCCTTCAGTTTTTAAGGTTTGGGCGTTCTGGCCGTGGAAGCTTTCCGGGGCTCCAAGACGGCCCAAGAGGCTTCCAGTATCGCCCCAACACGGCCCACGAGGCTTCCAAGAGCGCCCACGACGGCCCCAGAGGGCCCCTAGACAGCCCCAAAGGCTTCCAAGATGGCCGAAGAGGCTCCCAAGACGGCTCCAAAAGCGAGCCTAGACGAGGGACCCGAGAGGACATGTCGAGCTCTACGCGCAGAGAGGTAACCTGGAGGCTCCAAGAGGCCCCCAAGAAGCTCCCAAGAGGCATCCGAGAGGCCCCAAGAGACCCCCAAGAGGCCCCGAGAGACCTCCCAGAGTGTCCACGGAAACCAAAAATTTGTGATTGCCCTTCAGTTTTTTAAGGTTTGGGCGTTCTCGCCGTGGAAGCTTTCCGGCGCTCCAAGACGGCCCAAGAGGGCCCACAGAGGCAAAAATGAGCGGTTATCCTGAGATGTTTGAAGGCTGTTGCCGTTCTCGCCTTGGGGGCTTACTGGCGCTCCAGGGCGGTCCTAGAAGTTTTCAGGATCGCTCCAACACGGCCCAATAACCTCCAAGAGCGCCCACAACGGCCCCAGAGGGCCCCTAGACAGCTCCAGAGGCTTCCAAAATGGCTGAAGAGGCCCCCAAGACGGCTCCAGGAGCGGGCCAAGACGAGGGACCCGAACGGACCTGTCGAGCTCGAGGCGCAGAGAGGTTCCCTGGAGGCCTCGAGAAAACCCCACGAAGCCCCCAAGAGGCCCCCGAGAGGCCCAAGAGACCCCCACGAGGCCCCCCATAGAGGCCCCCGCGACGCCCCGGGAGGCTCAGGAAGACCGCCAAAAGGCTCCCGAGAGCCCGCGGATTGTCTCACGAACCCTTCCGTGTTCCTTCCCTCTCCTCCTTCTCCCCCCTTCTGCGTCAGCGACTCTTACTCCTTGGACGAAAGGCGCCACAGTAAGTCGTCACGGCAGGAATCGAAAGGCCTCCTCTTCATCCTTACCCTCCCCTCTTCCTCCTCCTCCAAACCCTCCTCTTCCCCTCCTCTTCCTCCTTCTCTTCCCCTTTTCCCCCTCCTCCCCCTCCCTCCTCTGCTTCAACGAACCTCAACCCCTCCCCCCTCTGCTTCAACGAACCTCCATTCTTCAACGAAAAGCGCTACAATAAATCATCAAGACGGTACAATCAGCGTCCCTTTCCTCCCCCTGCTCTGCATCGCTACCTCACACCTCAATCCCACAAGCAGCCATGGCAGGGTTCCCGATTCCTTCCACATTGCCCAAAGTTGCCCAATATTCGCAAAACCACGATCCCCCGCAAATTCCGCAAAGTGGGCGTACCCAAGGCCACGCCCCTCGCAAATTAAGCCATCTTCGAATCGCCGAAGCCACGAGCACCTTAAATCTGCTGGCCCAGCGAGCCAGAGGCGTGCTAATATCTCCAGCAACTGAAAAGCAATGTTTCTAGTTCGCGCGCGCAGGGCGGCCCCTGGATGTCCGCGGCCGACAAATACCTCGAGCAGGTCCCAGGCAGGTCCCCCGCAAGTCCCCATCACAGGTGGCTCTGCTCCTGCGCGCCGCCCTCAGGGCCTCCCAGGAGCCCAGAAAGAGGCCCCGAGGCCCCCTTAGAGGCCCCCAAAAGGCACGAGAACGCCACCACGCAGCCACAGTGATGCGAAGTGCGACTACCTACCAGACCACCCCAACCCAACCCGAAGACCCGAATTTGAACCGAATTTCGGGTTGGGGGGAGTACGGGTTCCATGTGTGTGTTTTTTCGATGTTCCCCGACCCCCCCCCCCACTGGAAATAGAGGGCAAATCGTGGCCTTCGGGTTGGGTTGGGGTGGTTTGGTGGGCGGTGAAAATGGGCGGGCGGAATGAGCGAAGCGATGAAATAAGAAAACGATCACCAAAGCGCGTGCTGGCGCCAGCGTGTGCTCGTCCACCGAAGCCGGTCGGTACGACGTAGGCGGCACGTAAGGGCCAGCACGGGCCGCGTGCTGTCGGCGGGGCAGCACGGAATACCACACACACACACACACACACACATACACATACATACATACATACATACATGCATGCATGCATGCATACATACATACATACATACATACATACATACAGACAGACAGACAGACAGACAGACAGACAGACAGACAGACAGACAGACAGACAGACAGACAGACAGACAGACATATGTGTATATACATATATATATATATGTATCCACACACATTGGGCTGACGCACAAGTCCTGAGAATAATCTGGCCTGCGCGTTGGACCTCGCCACCGCGCGGACCCTTCCGCCCCCGACCCCCTCCTCCTCTCGCCGCGGAGGAGCCACGGCGGGAGGTCATTGGCCACCTTCGGCCTCCGAGGCCCTCGCCGGGCCCCGGGATCGTCAACAACGAGGCCGAATATGTTGCCGATCAGCAAAAAGCTCGTAAGCCAAATGTCTGTTCAGCTCGGGGTGAAAAACGGGCCCCTGGGAAGAGGTCCACGGCGCGGGCGCGGCCGCCAGAAACCCTCGCAGGAGACCCAACCCTGAGAACCCGTGCGCGAGGTGCACCTGAGGGGAAACCTGGAGCGCCCTGAACGCAGCAGCTCCTTCAGCGGCTGCGGGAAGTCACCGCGCAGCGCGAGGAGCGTAGGGGGCAAACTAACCTGCCTCGCTTTTGACCACAAG